GATTTCTTAATTAGACTTTTTAAATAATGATAACAGTGACTTGTTTATTAAGAATCTTTCTCACTTAGTTGTGGTTCTTTGAAAAGACACTCACCAAACTACCTGTGGAATTGGATCACTTGAAGTGGATAGAAACTTGAAATAAAGCATTTAAATGCTTCTTTTACATGGGTCTTTCTGAAATTGCTTTAAAAATAATATATATTCACCCATTCAAATTGTGTATGTATAGTGACTTGATATTATTATATGACAAGGACCTTTTAGTTTAGAGGCTCTAAATTTACATTATAATGAAATTATAGTAGAATGTGATAGCATAAATTCTTTATAGAACATGTTTTATTCTATATCTGTACTGTGCTTAGCTATAACTACAAAATATATAAAACTACTACTAATGACTAAATGGATTCTCTACATTCAGAGATAATGTACCACTGAGCACCAGCTTCTGAAGGATAAGTGGTTGGCCACTATTAGAGAACTGAATTAGATTTTAGTCTAGCAACATTTCTCTCTGTGTGTCTATTATTTTTTTTGTACCTTTCCCCTTCAGTTCTTCTTCTCCAGTGCAGTAGACATATTTTCCTGCCAGGAAAAATAACTGCCAGCTGAGGATAATGCCAAAAGAATCTAAGGAGGAGAATTACAGTCCATGAAAGGACATGGCAGAATAATATTAGCTTGCCTTTATGGGGTCCAAGTCTATGTGTGTGTATTTGTTAGAGAATCAAAAAGAGCTGTGGAAAAAAATGCTATAAAAATAAAAGAGTACATGTAGTCCTCAACTTATGACCACAATTGAGCCCATTTCTGTTGCTAAGTGAAACATTTAAGTGAGTTTGCCCCATTTTACGACCTTTCTTGCCAAAGTTGTTAAGTGAATCACTGTAAGGCTCTACATTTAGGCAAAAAATCCCAAATGCACAGGTATAGTATAGGTGGTGCCTGGCTCAACAGTAGTAACTGTGAGAGGAATCTCGGAGTCCTAGTGGATAATCACTTAAATATGAGCCAGCAGTGTGTTGCAGCTGTCAAAAAAGCCAACACAGTGCTAGGCTGCATTAAGAGAGGGATAGAATCAAGATCACGTGAAGTGCTGATACCACTTTACAATGCCTTGGTAAGGCCACACTTGGAATACTGCATCCAGTTTTGGTCACCACAATGTAAAAAAGATGTTGAGACTCTAGAAAGAGTACAGAGAAGAGTAACAAAGATGATCAGGGGACTGGAAGCTAAAACATATAAGGAATGGTTGCTGGAATTGGGTATGTCTAGTTTAACGAAGAGAAGGACGAGGGGGGACATGATAGCAGTGTTCCAATATCTCAGGGGCTGCCCCAAAGAAGAGGGAGTCAATCTATTCTCCAAAGCGCCTGAAGGCAGGACAGGAAGCAACGGATGGAAACTAATCAAGGGGAGAACCTAGAACCTAGAACTAAGGAGAAATTTCCTGACAGTTAGAACAATTAACCAGTGGAACAGCCTGCCTCCGGAAGCGGTGAATGCTCCAACACTGGAAATTTTTAAGAAGAAACTGGACAGCCATTTGTCTGAAATGGTATAGGGTTTCCTTCCTGAGCAGGGGGTTGGACTAGATGACCTCCGAGATCCTTTCCAACTCTGTTATTCTTTTATTCTCTAGTTGTTAAATTGTCAAATTATTGTTAAGTAAATCTGGCTTCCCCATTGACTTTGCCTGTCAGAAGGTCACAAAAGGTGATTAGGTGACCCCGGGACACTGCAACCATCATAAATATGAGTCTATTGCCAAGCATCTGAATTTTGATCACATGGTCATGGGGATGCCACAACAGTCATAAGTGTGAAAACTGGTCATAAATCACTTTTCTTAGTGCCGTTGTAACTTTGAATGGTCACTAAACAAACTGTTGTAAGTTGAGGACAACCTGTAGTGACGCCTAACTCTGGAGCATTGTTAGATGGAATTCGCTTTGGGCTGTCCTGCTCTGAAAACCAGACTTATCAAAAAAGAAAAGACATCCAAATTGTGCAGAGAGGGTGACCCCATTTTGAACTCGCCTAGTAAGCAACCCAAATAAAACATTAATGTTCAAAAACATCCTGTTGACAACCAAGTATATACTGTCAAGGCCATAGATTTTCCAGTTATAGGGATGTGAAAGCTGGGCCATGTCAAAAGTTGAACGAAGGAGAAGCAAATAGTGGAAACTGGAGAAAATTGCTGAGAATATCCTAGACTGAACAAATCATTTGGCCCTTGATGAAGCAACGGTAAATTGCTCATCAAAAACACTGAAAAGGAAGCTAAAGTTTAAACAGTTTGGGCACAAAAGGCAAAGACAGAAATAATTGGAGAAGACCCCACTCCTGGAAAATTGAAGGCAATTGAAAAAAATGTACGGGCAGTCCTCCACTTACATCTGTTGTTCGTCCATCGATTTCGATGAAGACCTTGACATCTTATGGATTATGGGCCATCAGCGGTGTGTCCGTAGATGGCTGATGAGACCGATGTTAGCACGGAATGTTCTGCCACATACTGAACAGAGAAATGTGGACACTATTGCTTCAGCATTTGCAGCTCTGGCTTTATGGAGTGCTCGCTTCTCTTGTGCCAAGA